AATTGTTCAGCGATTGGACCGATGAGGATCTCATCTTCGCTCTCGAAGATGCTGATGGTGACCTGGAGGCAGCAATTGATCGCATCAGTGAAGGTCTGCTCTTTTCCCCGTATTCTAATGCCTCGCTACTCGCTTTCGGTCAGCCACTGACATTGGTTCGTGTCTCTACCTAGGCAATGTCTCTCAGTGGGGTGAGGTAAAGAAGAAGACCACAGACCGCAGCCGTCCTAAGCCCAAGGAGGTACAGAGCACCCCGACCGAGTCAGTCATCCCCTCTGTCCGCGGGGGCCGTGGACGCGGTGGGTTTGAAGGCCGGGGCCGTGCTCGTGGAGATCGGGGCCGTGGTGGTCGCGGTGGCAGGGCTGGTGTTCACACTAATGGCGCCCGCACTGAGAAGCCAGCTGTCGCTACCAACGTGACCGATATCCCTGCTACTGCTGCTCCCGAGCCCACCGCAAACACCAAGACGGAGAACACTGTCGATGCTGAACCTGCAGCAACCTCCGAACCCGCCGATGCCCCGAAAGACAATGCCCAGGACGTTCCTAAGCCCAGTGTGGTCCCCGGAGGAGCGAAGACGGGATGGGCTAGTTTGTTTGCTAAACCCACGCCCCCTCCCCAGCCGAAGAAGCCTGTTGCTCCCGCTCCTGCTCAAGCCCCCGAGAAGCCTGCCGCCGCACCAGTGGAGGAGCAGAAACCAGCCGAGCCTACTCCTGCGCCGGCTCCTGCTCCTGTTTCGGCTCCTGCACCAGCTCCTGTGCCTGCACCGGTTCCCGCTCAGGCTCCTGTTCCTGTCCCTGTTCCTCTCCCAGTTCCAGTGCCTGCACAGAAAGCTCCCGAGCCTGTCATCCCTCAGACTCTGCCTACCGAAGAACCAACCACCGTCAGCCCTCCTGCACCCGAAGTGCCCGCTCCCAAGGACGATCTGACCAGGAACAACCTCGCCCAGATCCCCGACGTCTCTCCTCCCGCCCCGACCGCGACCGCAGCTAGCACTGTGGGCAGCACTCTTGAGTCTACTGCCAATGCTCCGGTTGCTGCAACCCCTACACGTGTTCCGGCCAGCATCCACCCCAGTAGTGCTCTGAAGCACAGCACTCGCACTCCAGGCACCCAACGTCGTGTTATGGAACAGCAGGAGGCCGTGGTTATGCCAGGCAACCACGCCGTGGACCGCGCGGCGGTCCAATTTGGCAGCATGGGATTGAATGGCGATGCTGTTGACGTTGATATTGATGAGAACAGGGAAGATGCGGAAACCCGTGCTCAACCTCCTCAACATTCTCCCGTCGCTCCTCGCGCCTCTTTGCCTCCTTCCACCCAGGCCCAGGCTCCTACCGAAACCCCTGCAGTTGCCCGCCCGGCTCCGGGACTTCCTCCCGTGCCCCAGGTGTCTGCTGCCGACAACTCGTTTGCCGACTTCTCTCGCTACACCGATGCCCACAAGCCCTATGATCCCTTCACCCAGCAGGTTTCGCAGCCCCAACCTCAAGTTCAGGAGCCATTCGCCAACCAAGCTCCTATTCAGCCAACTGCCACCACCGGCAGCGAGTACTCGCCATTCTATGCCGTTGACCAGCGTCTTCCTTACAACTACTACGGCTCCTACGGCCAGTCTCAGGATGCCACTGTGGCTGCCCAGAGAGCAGGATTTGGGGTTTCTGGCGCCGAAGTGCAGCCGCACATCCCCACCACCCAACCCCCCAGCCGCTACGGTCATGTCGAGGCCCCCAACAGCGGTCACACCACCCCCAACCCAACCCTTCCGGGCGCTACTCAGACACCTACGGCTCAGCACATGCCAGGCCAGGGTGCCCATAACTACGGATACGGATATCCCTACTACTCGAACCCTCACTATGCTTCGTACATGAGTGGAATGAACCAGTACGGCAGAAACCGTCCGATGTACGATGATGCTCGCAGATACGACGACCACTACATGCCCCACAGCAACCAGTACGGCTACGGAAGCCAGTATGGCCCCTATGGTGGCAAGGGTGGAATGTACGGTCAACCCCACGCCTTCTCTTATGATCACACCTCCTCCCCCGCCACGGCGGCTTCTTTCAATCAAACCATCCCTGGCCGTGACTCGGTCTACGGTCGTACTGGATCTGCCCAGCCATCGGAGAGCCAGCAGTCCGCTGCGGCAGGCTCAACTGCTTTCGGAACCGGTATGTCGGACGTCTTTGGTCGATCCCAGGGCAGCTTCGGCCAGAACCAGCCGATCACCCAACAGCCTCCTGTGACGTCCGAGGAGACAAAGAGCTTCGATACTCCTAAGGCGGCTGGACCCAGCCCCTCTCTTGCGCAGGCTAACCGCCCCGGTTCTGCCACGAACAGCGCCCCGGGTCAGCCTCAGGCCCAGAGCGGCCTTCCCCCGCTGCAGGGTCAGCAGGGTCAGCAGGGCTTTGGTGGCTACCCCCACCTGAACCCCCAGTACGGCGGCGGCTTGGGTGGTCTCGGCGGTCACCAGGCGGCCGGTTCTCAGACCCACCACCAACCCACTGGCTATGGTAATTACGGTGGCGCAGGCTTCGCTAACTATTATGGCAACACACGTGGAGGCTGGGGAGGCAATTACGGTCACTAAGGGATTATGGCGTTACATCTTAACTGGTGATCAAATCTTCATTGGCTCTTTCCTTGTTTTTCCCTTTGCTTTTTATTTTCTTTGCCATTAATCTTGGGGTACGGCAAACCCCGGTAAGGAAAATATCTCATCTGATATGCCACCTGTTAACACATTTCCCTTTTTATGTTCTCCTCACGTGTGTAATCTGTACTCTCCACGAGAGCTTGGCTGGTTGCTTCTTTGGTTGATTTCCCCCGCGGGGTTGCACTCACGATGTACTGAATGGAAAAAAAACGTTTGCTCTCTGTGTTTCTGATGCTTTGCTCTTTTCTCCTCTCATGGTCCCCGACATCTGCCGATGTCCTTCAACTGACTCTTGGTGGTTTCCCTCGCGAATTTCCTTTTTTTTTACCCCTCTACATTCAACTCGGTGTCTGGCCTACGAAAAAAAACCTTTCCCGCTTAAGCTCTTGCTCTTGTCGACTTTGCATACTTTTTCGCTTCCTGTACTACTTCTTTCTTGGGGTTTGGCTGGGACATCATTTATGCAATTTGGCTGGATTAGGACACAGGATGGGGTTTCGAGAATGCAATGAATCGAAATGGGACGGCGTTTGTCACCGGGGATTTGATCTGATGTATGAAGTAAATGGGCAATGTGGGCAATGACGGGTAACACATATATGTGCATTATGGTACAACGGAAACAGCGAGCTTTGCTTCGATCAAAAAGAGTTTCATATGTCAAGTTTATATGAGATGTGCCCACCGGGGTCTTGTAGGTGGAGGGTTGTCGTACGCTTACGGTCTGTACTATTGATGCACGGTTATCCTGCAGGCCGTACCATCCGAGGTCTATCCACTCAGCAGCTTGACACCATTGAAAGTGTATCCCGGACCTCAGATTCACATTGGCTTGCTTGTTTGCTCACTCTCGCCCTCCCTTATATGAAGAGCTTCATGGCTTCTCGGCCTCCGCTACGTTTTCCTCTCCCTCGCCTCTCTCTTTCTCTCCTCGTGGCCATCAGCCATCTCCTTGTGTCGTCCTGTTTGGTTTCTAGCGTCTTATCTATATCCCCCGTTTTGTCTAGTGTGCCTTACTTTCTTCCAGACGTCGCAGAATGCCAATCCGCACCGCACTTGGCATCACACGGGAGATCGCGCAATCGACCCATATGAACGCGCACTTCATATTGATTTCGTGTCGGCATCTATTCAGTAGGCACCAATTGATTGAAAGTCATCAAGCATTATCTTTTCTCTCAGTGACACAATCTTGGTCTCCCTGTTCGCATGTTGGGGCTTTGCCTCTCTAGATCAAATGTAGGGATATTGGGGGAGGGAAGGGGGGTACTTGTAGGTACACTTTGCTCTCATCACTTCTTCTACCTTCTTGCCGTTGTCTTTCCTTCCCGGTAGTCACTTGTTCTGGTTTTTGTGGTGGTTGGGTCACTGGTTGAGATGTAGTGCTTCACTTTGCACATTTTGTGAGTGTTCGTATCTATACTTAGGACGGGGTTCAGGGGGCTTATGGGCCAAGGTCTCTCTCGTTCTCTATCGTTACACCGCTGGTACATTTGAGGTCGAGGTCGGTGGTGGGTGCTATGCAGTAGTCGGTGCAGACGAGATGAGGTATTGCTAGGCTAGTGGTTTTGACTTTGGGCGAGCAGGTACCAGCCCGTCACAACTCACTCCTGGTCTCTTTGGGGATCTTTGGTTAGTTTCCGGCTGTATAGCGATAATATTATTTCTACTCTTCATATGACTCCGCGAGTGTAGGAAGTGATTAGCGCCCTGGCTGACGTAGCAAGTGGTTCGGATGACTCCCAGTGGCCGTGATATATACTATGGTCAAGAGCACCGTGGAACCCGGACAGCTGACCTAAGTGCTCTGGATGCGGCAGTAGCCTGGGTGGGACTGGGGTCGGGGCAAGTGAAAATACCGATTCAATAAGAGGAGCCCAGCCGTCCGATCAGGGAATGGACTCAATAGATGTATATAATGGCTATTTTTTTCGATTGATCACCTATATTGGGGAAGGTTGAGTTCTTGGTCTAAAATATGTTTTTAGATTATATTACACAAAAGCGATGCCATTACCACAACAATAGGTGCTGTGGTCTAGTGGTATGACGTCACGTTGTGGCCGTGCCAGCCCCGGTTCGATTCCGGGCAGCGCCACTTTCTTTTTTGTGTTTGTTTTTTTGTCATCACTTTATCACAGACTACGCTGGCGACTAGTCTACGTACCTTCTTTCCACCTCAGGTCTACCCAATGAATCCCGCCGATCAAAAATGAACACGAACGAAAAGAGGGACATGTTCCCTCGTGGTCCGCCGTCAACCATAGAAGGGGTATATCTACACCTCACAAAACCCGTACCACAACTAGACATATATACAATGCAGAAATCGTACTTTTCACCCCTGAGACTCCCTTAGTACCTTACTCGGCCACTCCAGCCATGTCTCCCACTGGGAACCCAGATGCGCCTGAATGGTCTCAATCAAGAATCGACCCCCATCGCCAAACGCCCATACATGCCGCGCCTGATGCAGAAGCACACCGTAGGACGCCAAAATGACCAGTGCCTCTGGGCGGCGCAGCTCCAACATCTCGATGTACTCCACCTCCACAATGACGGGCCACCCAGTGATCCCGCCGATGAACTTGACCCCCGGATCAGCGTCCTTCACCCCCGTCGCATGGATTGAGACCTGTAACGCACGCACCGCCTGCCGATAGACCGCGGTCGTCTTCTCGCCCAGTCGTGCCGCCTCGATCAGATCCATGATCCGCTGGCACTCGGGCCCCAGGTCCGCATCCCACGCGAACTTCTCCTGCCCGTACTGGAGCATTGGCTGCAGTATCGACCCGCGCAACGCCTCCCACGCCTCCGAGGTGATGGCCCGCACGCCCCGGTGCAGTTTGAGATAGTGCACGAATTGGTCGAGGAAGGCATCGAAGCTGGACTTCTCCCGGTAGATCACGGTGTCGCAGAGCATATGCAGGCCGAGCGTGGACGAGAAGATAAATAACGGGACACAGGTCTCCTGCGTGACGTCCCGGCGCTCCTGCCCTAAGATCTCCAGCGCGTGGGTCTGGAGCTGGGCGGCGTGGCGGCGGTACCGCTCGCGCTCAGCGGGCCGGACTATACTAGAGTGCAGAGCGCTGAGGGCCAGCAGTTCATTGATCAGATAAGGGGTCGATATCCCGACGCGCATGAGGTCCGGGGACAGGCCCCCGAAGAAGGCGGTGTCGCCGAGGGAGGGAATCGTCTCCGTGACGAGATTGAAGAGGAGTTCGGCGTGAACCATGTTGACGGGCTGATCCTCAGAGCATGTTGTTGTCACCGGCTCTACTGCAGGCTGCTCACCAGGAGGCTGTGGTGTCGAGGGACCAACCCCGGGACTTGGCCAGGCGTTGGTCGGAGTCGAGGCATTACTTCGTTCGGATCTGGTCGTGCTGCTCCTGAACCGATCTGCGTATTCGCAGACACGTTCCGAGCTGCGGCAGTTGCCGCATTGCGGATGTTTCTCGTCGCACTAGATGAGCAGCGTTTAGCCGATGTGCATGTCCGTGGAATGTTTCTGTGTAGACTCAGACTCACTTTGATATGACGTCTTTTACATTCGAGACAGCCATTACGCGATTTTCGGTGTGTCCTACGCGGCATGACTGTCATGTTTCCGACGCAACTTTACATCATCCAGAATATACAGTTCGTCTATGCAGTATCTCCTCTGGGGATGTTTGGAAGGGTGGGCAGTTGGGGGGGGGGAAGGGTCGTGGGCCAACAACGGTGAACTATCGGACCCGGCGACGTCTGCCGATAAGCTTAAAAGTTGAGGCTCAGGCAGCAGCCGAAATGAACCTACGAAGATGCAGGCGGTCTATTTTTATCACATCAGAAAATCAGGTAGAGACCTAGACCCAAGGACGAGCAGACGAGGAAATTTGATGCTGAGCTGAGCAAAGAATAAGATGCGATTGTGCACGGGCATCCCGAGTCCGAGGTCATTTCAGGGACCTGCCTATTTGAGCAATACGCGTATGCACAGACCATCTCTATCATTTTAGACTAGATCGGGTAATATGATCGGTAGCCAACCGTCTCCTCCAGGCTCCATGGCCGACGAACCACTCTATCATCCTTTCTATACGCGTATTCAACCCTCAGAAATTTCCACTTGCGCTCAAACTAACAGCAATGCTTTTGCGGGGGTTCAGCTCCCTATAAGTATATCACAATGACCGGCCAAAGAGCCAGAATGCGCCGATTCTATCATCCCAATCACTCAGACGTACCAAATCTAGCCGATCGCTATAGTTAGCCGGGTGTGCATCGGGTCCCTCCCACAGTATGGCACAACTCAAACCCTTAGAAGGAGGCTATTACCTCTGGACATACCTGCCTTCTATTCCAGCGGCCGCGATCTTCGCCGTTCTGTTTGGACTGGTAACCTGTTATCTGTTCTTCAAGCTCTTCCAAACTCGAGCATGGTACAACATCTCCTTCAGCATCGGCGGTATATGTAAGTTCCCCCTCTCATATCCCATACAATCCAACAACCCCCGATGACAACCGTTGCTTACACGCTTCTCCCACAACAGTCGAGATCGTCGGCTACATCGTGCGGATCCTGAACTACTCCAACACGGCCTCGATCGGCCTCTACGCGATCCAAAGCGTGCTCATCCTGCTGGGCCCCGTCCTGTTCGCCGCAACCGTCTACATGACCCTAGGCCGCATCATTCGCAGTCTGCCCCGGCGACTCACGGCCGCCACCGAGCCCAAGGCCAGAAATGTCTCGCTCATCCCGCCCAAGTACCTCACCAAGCTGTTCGTCGCCAGTGACATCCTCTCGTTCATCGTGCAGGGGAGCGGCGTGGGCCTGATGGTACGGTCGACAGGCCAGACGACGGCCAAGGCGATCACCGTGGTCGGCTTGCTGATCCAGGTGATCATGTTCTCGTTCTTCATCGTCGTGGCGCTGGTGTTCCACCGGCGTGTTAAGGCGCAGCAGCAGCATAACCAGCAACAGATCCGGCTGGGCCAGTACGGCCGCCCGTTGGATCGCTTGATGTATATGCTGTATGCGGTCAGTGCGCTGATTTTGGTCCGGTCGATCTTTCGTGTCATCGAGTACGCCATGGGAATGCATGGGTATATTCTGACGCATGAGTGGACGCTGTATGTCTTTGACAGTGTCTTGATGTGGTCCGTGATGGTCATTTGGGCCGTGGGGTTCCCCGGGAAACTTGTGGAGGAGAAGTCGGGGTATGAAGTGGAGATGGATGAAGAAAGGATAGTATAGGCCTCCTGAGGTGCGGTGGTGCTATTATTATGGGTAATGATCTGTTTCTTGGTTTCGGTGTTATGAGTCTGTTTCTCATTGTTTCTCTCTTAGAATTGTTAGCGAGAACAGAGCTTTACTCGCTATACGAGTCGATTTGCTTCATGAAATTCGCCTGCATTACTTATCAATAGTCTGGAAAATCAGGTAACAATAATCGCTCGGACCACTGTTGTGACCGACTGGATGTTAACTGGATGTCAGGATTCAATTCATTTTCTGACGAAGGCCTGTCCTTCAAAAGGTCGACGTGCCCGCGAACCAGAAGCGGAAGAGTAATCTGTCGGCTTGGTCTAGGAAATATCCAGTTCTCGCTGTTGTTCTATATACAGATACCAAATCCCCCAAAACAGAGCAAGGAAGGAAAGAGAAAACGAAGAGAAATAGAAAGAGAATGCAATCTATGATGGTAATCATCCCTGCTAATTCCACCACCCTATCCGACCACGCAGACCAAGGGAGAACTAGCCATTAGCTTCGCAATGAGTATCCTCTTTATGCAGTGACACCCAGGCCCTCGCCTCCAGTTGCATGGTAAGGTGGCTTGGCGTCGGTTGCCTTGGCCGAGTCAAACCGCCAGACACCGCCTGTCTTGTCACTCTCCAGAGAGGTAAGGCCGAGCTTGGGGCCAAGCTGCTGGAAAGCTTCATCTTCGCTCTCGTTGACACGCTTGAAGAACCGACGCTCCCACTCACGACCCTCCGACTTCTCAACCTTGCGCAGCTCACGCTGGGCATTCTCAATCTTGGACTTAGACACGGACACAGCGTCCATATCGCCCCGCTCAATGCCCGCCGCCACATCTCGCCAGGCTCGCCGGCTCTCGTAGAGGTCTTGCTGGTCAAGTGGTGCCAAGGTCAAGGGGGTGGTCTGCGTTTCCTTGACTGAGAATCTATCCACCTCGTGCTTCCTGGAATCCTTGATGACGAACGAGTCCGACCACTGACCGTCAATGGTGTACAGGGGCTTCTTCTCACCCTCGCTCTCCTTATAGAGAATGGCACTGAAGGTGTTCTTCTTGCCGCTCAACCAACCCTTGCCAGAGTAGTCGATCTTGGCAATGTAACCCGTGCTGCTGGCGATGCGGGTTGTCTTCTCAAGCTCGACGAACGGCGTACCGTAGATCAATGATTCGATGTGCAGGGCGGGAAGAGTGATGAGATATTTCTCCTGCTGGGAGGCATCGTTCTTGTCGAACCCGGGGGGAGTGAGAGTCAGAAGAGCGTGGCCGATTTGCTTGATCTGGATGGTGCTGGAGAAGGATGCCTTCTGGGCGTTGTATCCTTGGAGCTGGAGGACGCTAATTAGAACTTGTAACTAGGGAATTGATGTAAATGTTTGGTAGCTTACTTCGACACCGTGCTTCTCGTTTCGGATGGCGTAGGCAGTGGCAGGGGGGTGATGGCTGTGGATGGTCAACATAGCTTAGAAAGAATTGGGAGACATGGCTACATACCTGACCTGCTCACTGATCAGGCTGGTCTCACCAATCTCTGCATCCGAGTCCCACTTGCCCAGGAACAGCTCTCCAAGGAAGGGGTTGAGAGGCTTCTTCTCACTGCCGAGCTTCTCACTGCGGCTGCAGTATTGTTGGTGGAGGGTGCTGAGGAACCACTTAAGGACAGCCAATGCTCTCTTTTCGGGATCAGCTTCTTTGGCAGGAGCCACGAACAGAGCAGGGTGTTCGGCCCAGTAGGCGGAATATTCAGTCAAGGAGGTGGAGGAGAGGATGAAAGGGGGTGCGGTCAGGGAGGAAAGGTCTCCATTGAAGGAAGCGATCGACTACAATCGGAAATCAATCGGTTAGAGATGTCACTGGTTTCTGACAAAGTGTCTCGATGGCAAGGGCGGAAAAATGAAGCGGCATACGACGGAGATAGCAGATAGCTGCGTAGTGTCTTCTTCATACCTTAAGGAAACTTGTCCACGAGCCTTTGCTCGAGGCGGGAACGCCGCTATGTGGATCCTTGGAGCTCATTTTTTGGACGAAGAAGAGGAGGAAATTAGATGCAGATGAAAAGGAAACAAACCACCAAGGTAAGTAGTGGAGATATAAATCTTGGGGAAGTAGCCAAGAAAGTAGCAATAGGGTGGGGGATGAGAAAGTTGAAAAGAAGAGAAGTTAAGATGTCATGGGGAAATTGAGTGGGTTGGAAGAGCAGGAGGGGAAGGGGGGAGATTCAAGACTATCCGCTAAACCCGATACAAGCCAGCCGCGCGCAGGGGTTAGATGCGGTGCGGTGCAGTGGTTGCCTCGACGTCATCTGGGGTGGCTTGGGCCTTTTCCAGTTGTCGAGTTCCATCTTCCTCGCCTCCCCCTCCCATCGGATCTGCTGAACAGAACCACTCAGACATTCACATCCTCTACCATGCGATCATTTGTGGCTGAACTCTTAAAGATTCTCCCCTATTCACGAATGGTGGTTCACTCCCACCTCTTTCCCTGCACGCTTCTAAGCTTCGTTGCGGAGAAATCTAGTACACCAAGTCCCGCCATTCGCTTGTGTCCTCCGACCCCTGCTAGCCACCTACGAAGCCCTCGCAAAAGTGAGCGGAGAAGCAAATCGAGGATGGATGAAACTCAAGGAAGGAAAGATGTCATACCGCATGGCCATCCGAATTACCGAAGACGGCTTTATCCGGCCCATGAGGTGTTTTTCAGATCTCGCTGCATGCTTAGAGTTGACGGGAGACCCGGTAGAATCATGCTTCTCCCAAGGCATTTAAATCTCTCGTAGTGAAGTTAATTGTCACCATCCGGTGTATGGCATCAAACTCGGTTATTTCGCACCCTTGGGGTGCTGCCTATTTCGCTCCATCTACTCAGGAATTATATTGCACGGGAATCCGTACCATACATACAGTACATACTAGGTAGTATGTGAGCGCAGGCGGGGATGCTGGCTGGAACAAACCGAAAACGGAAGGGGGACAACAACCCGGCCGCAAAACCTTAAAAAGAGGCCAGTAAAAATGCCTGCTGGTGGATCTCCATCCTCCCTTTTTTCAGGAACGCGCTTGGACTACTCCGACCTTATCGTTTCATGGCGCCATGGGAGACGAAAGAAAAGAGGAAGCTTTGACGGACATGACAAGGCCTAGAAAGCTTGAGATAAGAACTCTCACATGATCATGGTCTTTTGCCTCTCATATCATCAATGCTATGACCCGTGAAGAGAAGACCGATCCGGGTGTACGGGTAAGATCGACAACCTGGATTCTTCTGTCCCTAATCTCCGAGGAAATCTACGCTACCTTCACCATCAACTACTTCGAGACTAGGTGCTGATGATGTGGATATGATCGTCTGGACCGAAAGTCCTCGTGAGAAAATGCTTCTCCTGAGAACTCTCCTACCCACCCCATGATGGATCACTTCCCCTCCCTGGTGAAATGACTCGCTCGTTACGGGGGTGTTCGCATATTGGCTTACTCAATCAATGCGAAGAAATGTCTCAAGGAGAGCTTCCGCGACGAGGTTCTTGCACTACCTGAGCCATGAGACAGGGCCACTCCGGCATCATATGCTACGTACGGGATATGTCTAAGATTCTCTCTATTTACAGTATGTTTGTCGATCATGATCCTCAGTTCCTGCTAATATCAAGCTTTAGGTCCCGGCTCCGATCCTGGAATTATACCTGATTCGGTGCTATGAGCGTCCCCAAGGGCGACGGTTGTAATGGATCCGCAATTGCCCAACTTTCCGTCCGATCCAGAATGAGGTTTTAGATCGAGCAGAGTTTCTCTGACCATTTCCCAACGGGGAGATATGCGGCCCCGTGCGCTGCTCAGGGCTAATTCAACGCAATGGTCTGGCCCATTCATCCTGATAAGCAGACAGAAGGCCCCACTGAAGGTTGGAATAATGCTTTTTGCAACAGCACTTAGCAAAGAAGAAAGAATCATCACCCATAAGTCTTACGCTTTTTTAAAAAGCGTATGGCTCCTTCGTCGCTGCAGGACCCATTCTGATGATTTCAATCTTTGATGAACGAGAGTGTTTTGCAGTCCTGTCCTTTCCTTGACTATGATCCCCTAAGTTGATATCACGTTATCTATATCTCAAAACCCTTTCGCTCCTTACCATACCGCTGCATGTTTGCAGATTCCGTTCTTTATTGACGACTCATGACATGTATTGCTGCACCCACCGCTCCTTTCATTTTCCTCCCACAATAGTACGATGTTCGACAAAGATTCCTTACAGTCATTCTCCTTGGAGGTCGATCCATATGAATGTCAGCGGTCTCACAGGCCTCGATCAGATCGGGATTTACACCATGGATCATCTCAAGCCCTGGTGCAGGCCTCCAGCCATACTTCAGATCATCCTTTGTCCCGCGTTGAAGATGACAGCGGAGTACCTCAAGTAGCTCATCTTTCACCTGCACGGCGGATTTCGATCGTTATTATGCTCTCGTACTGTGCATTCCTTGCCCCGATCTCATCCACCGCCATTTTCACGGCTGTGGCGGACCTCGCCAGAACATTTGATACCACCCAGGATATCATATACGCCAGCAACTCTCTCTATCTTGGATGCATGGGAGTTTCCGCCCTTATTTGGGGCCCTGCAAGCCAAGTCTGGGGTCGCCGGCCTGTAAGTGCAATTGAGACTGTTTTGACTTATGTGCTAACAAGCGCAGCTTCTCATCACAAGCTCAATCCTCTTCTGCGCGTTCACCGTTGCCTCCGCCTTCGCCCCAAACCTAGTATCCTACTTTATCTTCCGAGGATGTGCCGCATTACAAGGCACCTCTTTCCTCGTTATTGGCAACGCCATTGTCGGAGATATATACGAACCAACAGCCCGAGCCTCCGCACTTGGCTGGGTACTCTCAGGAAGTCTCACCGGACCTGCTCTAGGTCCTTTCCTCGGCGTAAGTGACGACCGACTTGCGCCTTTCAGGATGAAAAAACAATTCTTAACACAATCTCTCTCACATACAGGGCATAATAATGACCTTCCGCCCCTGGCGCACAATCTTCTACCTCCTCTCCGCTCTTAGCCTCTGCGCAACCGTCCTAATCATAACTATCCTCCCAGAAACAATCGCCCACAGAGCCAGCCCCTCCCTCCGTGGCCAACCGCTCCGCACTCAAGCCCAACAGCTCTGGTATCAAACTTCGCCCTTCCGGATCCTCCACCTAATAATCGCTTACCCAAACATACTCTGCACCGGCCTCGCCGCAGGTGCCCTGGTGTGGAATGAATATGCTCTTCTGACTCCGATCAGCCACACCCTCAACCCACGCTTCCACCTGACCAGCTCCATCGAAGCCGGGCTGTTGTACCTCCCTGCCGGCTTGGGCTACCTGATGGGGACTTTCTTCAGCGGCCACTACACTGACTGCATCGCCCGCTACTTCATCCGCCGGCGGCAAGGGCAGCGTATCCCCGAGGACCGGCTCCGCTCCTGCCTGCCCTTCATCTGCATCGCCAGTCCCGCCTGCGTGTTGATCTATGGGTGGACGGTGGACGCCGGCGTCGGCGGCATTCCGCTTCCAGTGGTTCTTATGTTCGTTCAAGGCATCGCACAGATCTTCTGTTTCTCCAGCTTGAATACGTACTGTTTGGACGTAATGCAGGAGCAAGGGCGGAGTGCGGAGGTGGTTGGGGCGAACTATGCCTTTCGGTATGTGTTTGCGGCGCTGGGGACGGGAGTGGCGATGCCGGCTATCAAGGTGGTTGGGGCTGGCTGGTTCAATGCGATTTCCGCTCTGTTCTTGGTTGGTGCGGGGGGTGCGGTGTGGTGGACGGCTGTGTTTGGGGCGGGGTGGAGGGAGGCTGTTGATCGGAGGAAGGGGCAGCAAGCTGGGGAGAAGTCAATGAGATAGGTATTTAATAAGAGAATAATATGGACGATAGTATATGTGACATTCATGGATCCCAATTATACCCTCCTTCCTTGACCAGCTGAAGTACAATTTGCCAAGAGCTTCATTTGGTGATTGAAGGCCAGAAACTGGAGAGAATGGCCTGGATAGCTATTTCCACATAAAAAGAGTATATGTACAAGACAAGCTGGATCTATCGAACAAGATTGTCAATCTGAGTGACGAAGGTCCTCCTGCTTGGGGTCGCCGATTTTTAGCTAGTTCTTCCGGTAGCCTGATGTAATTGAATCAATTCTTCATCTACTTCCTTGATCATTAATGAGTCTATATTCTTGTCAATTTGAAGTTCTTGTAAGAGTTCACAGGTCAGGAAGGGTAGACCTAAAAAGGTAAGCCGAGGTGCTAGCCCAGCTGGAGCAGGAACAGAGTCTTGTGATGTTTGATTTATTCGGCTATGAAAGCTTGCTTCTATAGTTTACACCTCTTGCTTCCCCATTTTGCTTCCAGGAAATAATATATGTTGGCGGTAGACCACACTTGATTATATTGGATACAATGAATTTCAAATTTACAGAAAACAAGACAAGTCAACTGCAGGCGACGAGCTAGGATTGCCCGAGGCGACTCTGCGGGGTTAATCACAATCAATCAATACCTGCCGGTCGTGCATCCTTGTTCGGCATTCCTCATCCCATCCCTCTTCTTATCTCAAGAATTCCCCATCAATTATCAATTGGTGACAGCTTAAACATACTATTATATCAGAACACAAGCTCAGGATGACACGCTCGACGCACCGCATAAGTTCACGAGTCTCCTTGACGAACGCCAGAAACGAGAGCAGCGCCGAACGCGATCCCAGCTCCAACAACAAGCATACCGACCACGAGGCATCTACACCCTTATCTCCAGAGCAATCATCTCAGAGTACAGCCGAGATTGAGCATGTTTTCGGAACAGAAGACACGTCCGAACAGCCCACAACGACTCGCAGAGAGCTCTGGTCATACTATCTGTACTACAATGGTAAATCCTCCTATCGCCATACGCAGCAACCCATCACTAACAGCTCGCATACCAGGCGATAATGGAGTTGGCCCTGGCTCTTACACTCAAACACTGTTTGTTTACCCCATCCCGCTAAGCTGATCATGCCCCCCAAATCTTGAGCTAATATCATGTTTCACCAGCTTTCAATGGGCGCTCAATGGTGCTGGGTGGCAGCCAGGCACTAACCCACGTAAGCCATGCACAAATAACTCACCTTGTGTCGTTCCATGGGCCCGGGGAACTCGTTCTGTCTCCTCTGTTGTTCTGATTGCCAACGGGCTGAGCTTCATGTTCATGACTGTGACATTTGTCTGGCTCGGAAGCGCAGCAGACTACGGCTCCTTCAGTCGCTGGTTGCTTTTGGTCTTGACCGTGATTTGCTGGGCCATGCAATACGCTATGATGTCCATCCGGCACCCCGATCAATGGCCTACAGCAATGGGCCTTTACGTGATCTCGTACGTTGCATATGGCGCAACACTAGTCTTCTATGCAGCCGTGTTTCCGAGGCTCGCGCGCCATATGCCGCATGTCCAAAGAGCCCGCCAGGACTTGAAGGAGGAGAAGATCAGCCAAAGGGAGTACGACGCAATTGAGTCACTGGAGCGGAATCACATCAGGTATGGACGCACTTTGTATTACTGAGATGGCAGCTAACAGATACTAGCAACGTTTCGACTGCACACAGCAACATCGGATACTTGGCAGTATTGGTATTGAATCTGAGCGTACTTTTGCCTCTTCAAAATCATTCTTTCTCGAACAACCTTGCGCTTTGCTTGACAAATTCATGTCGGTCTCCTACCCATCGCGTTTGAAGGTGGATGCTGATCAAGCCAGACTGGGTGATCCTGGGAATTTGGTGGTTTATCTTCCAGCAGAAACGCCCCGGCCCTAGGATCCCTGAAGGATCAAGCTACGCGACTATTGGTTTTAAGCAAATCTGGCTCGCGCTGCGTAAGGTCCGGTCCTTGCCGCAGACCTTTCTCTACTTCGTGGCATACTTCCTCCTCGCAGATGGCCTTAACACCACGGGTTAGTAAGATTAAGTCTGCCTAGTTTCTGCTCGCTGAGTTCTCCGCCATAGGCACCCTTGTCTCGATCATCCAAAATGACTTCGTGGCATTCTCCTTCATCCAAGTCACATATCTGGGCATAGCCCAAGCTGCATGCTCAATAGCCTCCACATTCGGCTTCTGGTACATCCAAAACTACTTCAAGATCCGCACAAAACGCATGTTTCTCATCACAAATTTCTTTACTGTTCTCATTCCCTTCTGGGGAATGCTGGGTTTATGGACCAAGCGCATTGGATATCATCACCGGGTATGTCCCACATCCAGAAGGCATCCTTCAAAGCAAAAAGAACACTAACAAGACGCTCTTATACCTTCAGTGGGAATTCTATCTCTACAATGTCATCTTCGGCCTGTTCCAAGCCCCATACTACGCCGTAAGCTCCCTCCGCCCCTGTCCTAAGAGCCCCGAATGTTCCGTCTCTGTGGTAGAATCAACGAAGAAGAAGAAGCCCACTTACATATTAATTCCTTCAGTATGCCCAAACCATGATCAGCGATCTCATGCCGCCCGGCTACGACAACATGTTTTTCGCTCTCTTCGGAATCACCAATCGCGCGGTAAGAACCACCATCCTAGCTCCTCTCCTAAAAGCCGCCCACCACATATTACTGATGGCTGACTCTATCATGGCATGGGCATTTAGTCCTCTATTATCGGTCCGAATGTCGTGCAGGCCATCATCAATGACACCCAGAACAACTGGATGGGGTTCCCGTTTTTGTTTGCGATTTGTGCGGCAGCGATGGTGGCGATTATGTTCGTGGACGTGGAGAAGGGGAGGGAGGATGGGAGGCGATTCGTGGAGGAGCACGCTGCTGTTGCTCCGGGTTCGGACTTGGGAGGGGCAGGGCGAAAGGCTGGAAAGACGGTCAAGGGACCTGTCAGTATAAATGCGGAGGTTGTGGGGGAGGCAGAAGGGAGCTCGAGGGAAGGGGGAGCTGGTAATGATGAGGCGCGTTGAGCAGAGTCTAGAGTCTTTGGTGCACACTGCACACTTGGTACAGACATACTACGCGTAGAGTTCATTGGTGTCAAGCGAATATTTGTATCATGGAAGACCTGAGAATTGGGGTTAATTCTAATAGTATCACAGGCTACAGTAGGAACTAGTATAGAAAGCTGCTTTGTATGAAGAATAGCACCAGGAAATCTTATGTACTGTACAACGCAATCCGGCAGGAATGCGAGTCCAGGCTAGTGGTGCATACATACCAGCAGACAAAATATATTAATTTCGCATGTGAATTACTGTATAGCCTTGTTCAACATTATGTATTTACGGAAAGAGGCATGGCACGTAGGGCCACCGCATCGCGAGCTGCCGCCAAATGGCTTTAGCAATCAAGATGAATGAGTATATTAACCAACCAACCAACCAACCAACCAACCAACCAACCAACCAACCCTCATTCACGACGTCCTTGCTTTAACTCCCAGTAGGTTTTCCGCATTCCGATAGGCAAATAACTCCAGATCCTCGCCAGCGATGAGACCACTTTCCTCAATCTCTTTAAAAAATGCCAGACCTCTCTCATTCGTCGAAAACGGATAGTCAACGCTGTACAGCACATGCTCAATCGAGGTTGTCTTCAAGAGACACGCCAACGACGTCGACGAGAACATGCCACTAGTCGTAATCCAGATGCTGTCCCTCCAGACCTCCCGGAGACTCCTCTCCCTGCCCCATCTCTCAGCCACCGTGAACACGCGCTCGAGCTGGAAGGGCAGCATCTCGCCCATATGGCCAATGACGATCTTCAACCTCGGATATCGATCAAAGACCCCACTGGCGTAGAGCCGGAGGACATGCAAGCCCGTCTCCGTGTGCCAGGCCCAGCCGTAGGCACTCAGCGCCAGCGCGACCGAGTCGTCATAGTTGCCCCTGTAATACTCCATCATGGAATCGGCGGCGAAGGTCGGGTGGATGTAGAGCGGCACATCGAGCGCCTGCGCTTTCGCGAAGACCGGCCAGAAGCGCTCGTCATCGTAGTATTTCCCGTCGGTGTGGTTCTCGATCAGCGCACCCACGAAGCCCAGCTCCTGCACGCAACGCTCCATTTCCGCGGCGGCGGCGGCGGCGGGCTCGCTCATCGGCAGCATCGCGAACCCGGCGAGTCGGGTCGGGTGTTTCCTGATGGCGGCGGCCAGGTCGTCGTTCACGGCGGTGCAGAGCGATGCGCTGATGTCGCCGGGTCCGTGCGAGATCACTTGGAGGGATACGCTGCCACTGTCGAGGTCTTGGATGCGCTCGTCGTCCAGCGCTTCCAGCTTGCTGCGGATGTGCGGGGGAAACGCGGCGTAGTGGGCTTTGGCTGTGGGGCTTGCTTCGCTCACTTTGCGCGAGATGTAGTGTTCTTCGAGGGTGATTAGTGGTATCATGGTTGCGATGCTTGCGTTGGATTTTTGAGTCGTGGATTGGAAAGTTGTGCGTGTAGCAACACGAGTTGAGCTTGTTGAAGTGGGTTCTACCGTGGTCAAATACTACATGATGCTAAGTCCGACCCGAGTAAGTCCGGGTGGTGAGAGACGGTCGCTGTGACTGGCAAATATGGGCCAGTACTGGCCAGTCTCTGAGACTTAGTCCTTCAACTGTGGCTAGTGCCATGTAGGGGATCCCTTAGGTGAAAAAGGTGCTTGGAGGTGGAGTATAAGGGTCGGAGAACGAGGTCTCTTATCGCCGTTAAGCCCCGTTTAACTCCCTAGACATTAGCACTCGCTTAACTTGATTCAGAATACAACTAAAAAATTGTTGAAGAGGATGATGTGACCTCACTGGCATGGATTCAAGGTCTAGAAGACTTGTCCGGACTCTGTGCCGTCACCGGGCTAGAGTATGCGCCAGTTTGTCCTCAAGTACTCCGCTCGATATACTGTAGAGCACCGTTTTGGTAGAACATGTGTCGTGATTACTCGTGATTGATCTATGGTGTTGAAGCTTTACAATGATCAATGTTCTGGTGAAGACAGCACATTTTCCTGGATGTCAATTATATCACCTTTGATACTTGTTGATGCATTATCTAGATTTGCCTCGGAGAATACTAACAAGAGAGAACAGACAGGGAGGTGTGCTGCTCAGTGCTGGAAACACTTCAGTTTCGGTGTTTTGCCACCAATCCTATCTGTATCGCAAGGCTTTACTCGACTGTCGTCTGCAACAATGGAATTTCCCCACTGAAATGGTACCATCTTTGAAACTACCGGCTCTTTTTTTTATCAGTTCAAGACAAGCTCAACAAGATAAGGGTTCAAGCAGTTCAAACAAATCTCACTGTCAAAATAGAGTGCAAGATGCTAATAATCTCCACAGGATGGGCATAATCCCCCACCTCCCCACCTCCCCAACGGAGTAGTCTTCCAGTGATATTCGACATAGCACGTGTTGCACCGAAGCATTGTTGCTGGCTTTCTGACCTCGTCTCTGGCCATGGCGTGGACAAGATCTGCGGCAAACCCTGTAGTTTCCTCTAGCGCAAGCCGAAAATCCTCGCTAGCGTCCAGTTCCTTGATGTTCCCCTTGGCAGTCTTCACAAGAATGTCTCGGAGACCCCTGTCTTCCTTAATGGACCGCTTGTATGCCTCTTCAATAGCAACTGGAAAGTCGTCCGTTTGCCAGCACGTCTCCACGATAGACTTGAACTTCTCTCTCGCGCGGTCCTTCAGCTGGGGGACCTGATATTTGTCTGCGACCTGATACACCTTGACAGCAAATAGCATAGGTGACTCACGGCCTTGGTCGCTGCCGCTGCTGTCGTACTCATATCCGTACATGAAGTGGAACATTGCTTCTATCGCGCGGGGTTCGTCCTCCTTGAGACAAATCTCATTCATACCTGATTCCTGGAAGTAGTTAGAGTATGTTGTTCTGTGGCCGCAAGATTTCCATTTCAAGCCTACCAGCCCTTCACCTTCGTAGAGACGTGAGAAATATTCGGACTGCCCGCAGACGACCAGCCAATGAACCTTGAGCTCTTGGTCCATGGTGTGGACGGTTAGGTCGGAGAACTTTGATGACGCGTAGTACCTGTTTTCATCAGATTCTTGCCCTCCATGAAATGCTGACGGGGTGACCGAAGAAACTACCTACTTCTTGATGCTGGCCAACAGATCCCCTGGCTTTTCGGCGTCAACATCGTCCTCAAACCTAACAGACTTCTGAGCCTGATTGGAGGGGGCCATTCTTGTAGCTTTATCCAGGAAATGATAAAGAAATAGATGGTTGATCACTGGGCTGTTCGCCTGTAAAATTGTTTCTGGAGGGAGATGAAGAGGTGGGTGTCGGAGTGAGGACAATTTTATAGCGCCCCGAAAGTGTTCACTTGGTGAATTATTGACTCGGCCTAACTGGCGTAACTAGGCTCCTCTTATGAGCCACCTCGATGAGGGAAGCCTTGTCTACTGTAAGCATAAAGCTACACAGTTCTTATCAAGCCATCTCGACCAGAAACGTAGACCTTGATCCACCCTAGCTCCTGACTCAAGGTAATGTTGAGCTGCCTTCTGATCATGTTTTTATATACTCGTAGAATCTATATAACTGGTCTTCTGAAACCGACGTATTATTGGATTCTTACCCTAGACAGAAGCCCTGACGGCTTTTTAGAGTGACAATCGGCGAGACCTTCAAACTGCCGCCTAAGCGAGTGCTTGAAAAAAATCCTCAAGTATAGGAATGTGTTTCGCATAGTATTAGACGGGTGGGGTTCAGGCTGGGACTGGCTGGCAAATGAGACCAATAAGATAATCGGTTTTCGTTAAGGCTGCCGTTCCCCATCGATTCTTCCCCTCATTCCACTGCATCCAGAACCTTCAAGGTTATCCTTTCGTTCCCCTGTTTTGGGAGTGCTATCTGCTCTGTACTCCACTGGTCCTTCAGATTTCACTCCATCAATTAATCGCTTAGTGAGATGTCGTCTGCAGATTGGCAGAAGAAAGTCGGCCAGGTAGGCTGTCCTCTTAGCCAAGCATAGGATTACAGTAGCCGGAAAATAACTAACCAAGCTCTAGCTATTTGTGGTCGGCTTCCATGGCCTGGAACCTAGCGCCGAGATCAAGACCTTGATCCACGAATACGGAGTTGGAGGCATTGTTCTCTTCAAAAGAAACATTATCGACATTGCTCAACTACGGGTAGGCCCGCATTCTTGAATCATGAGTCGCAACCTGCTGGCTAATTCCAAGCCCCCGCCCGCTGCAAGGCTCTGACGGATGCTCTGCAACGAGAAGCACAAGTAGCTGGTCACACTCATCCCCTCTTCATCGGTATCGATCAGGAGAATGGATGGGTCACCAGAATCTCACCCCCAATGGCCTCTCAGCTCCCGGGGCCCATGGCTCTGGGTGCTACTAACTCAACCGATCTTGCATACAAAGTTGGAATGGCAACAGGACAATTGCTGAAACATGTCGGCATTAATATGAACTATGGTCCTGTCTGTGACATCAACTCCGAGCCATTGAACCCCGTCATCGGCGTACGTAGTCCCGGCGACGACCCAGAATTCGTTGGCCGTTTCGCAAGCGCTATCGCACGGGGTCAACGCCAGCACAGTGTCATATCTTGCGTCAAGCACTTTCCCGGGCATGGAGATACTGCCACCGACTCCCACTACGGGCTTCCGGTGATTTCCAAGACGCGAGAGCAACTGGAGAAGTGTGAGCTCGTGCCATTTCGGCGAGCGGCAGCTGAGGGGATCGAGGCTGTTATGACCGCACATATCTCGCTACCCGGCCTGGGAGATAGCAAGCTGCCGGCCACCCTCTCACCAGATGTGCTCAGTATCCTTCGGGAAGATATGGAGTATGATGGTATGATAACCACGGACTGTCTGGAGATGGACGGAATCCGCGCGACTTATGGCACTGAAGAAGGCGCCGTCCTTGCCCTTGCGGCTGGAAGCGATAGCATCATGATCTGCCACACTTACGATGTCCAAGTTGCGTCAATTCGCCGTGTCTGCGAGGCTGTCGAAGCAGGTCGAGTCTCCATGACCAGGGTAGAAGAAGCGTACCGACGTGTAACCCAGCTGAAACAGAAATCTCTAAGATGGGAGGAAGCGCTGAACACCGATAACGCCTTTGAATCGAGGTTCCGTGAGATCGACTTGCAAAATCGCGAGCTGGCCGACGCTGCCTATGCCAAGTCAGTGACCATCGTTCGAGACACGTCAAAGACTCTACCAGTCTCAAGGTCAAGCAAGGTCGTTTTACTCTTCCCCGGCGACGAAACTCCGGCTGGCGGTGCAGTAGATGGAGAAGGGCTTGGTCGAAAGGGATCGTACAAGGGATCCGTATACCTTGATGCTTTGAGGAACCACAACCCAACTGTCACCGAGATCCGCTACGGAGCAGCGGGCTTGTCCGCGGAGGAGTGGCGCAATGTCGAGACTGCTGACGCCGTTATCCTCACCACAATCAACGCGCGTGAATCGCCATTCCAGAGAAAAATGGGACAAGAACTGCTCAGCCGTGCTCGAGCACTGGTAAGCATAGCGGCCTGCAACCCCTACGACTTCCTCGATGACCCTACCATTGGAACCTACATCACCACGTACGAGCCCACTCTTGAGGCTTTCACTGCCGCCGCAGCGACGATATTCGGCGCCGCGACGGCAACCGGCAAACTCCCAGTGGGCACCCAGAAACCGCGATTATCCATCGAACTTTCTCCCCTCGACAATTCCGAAGACCTCAAACAAGTGCACACCGTCTGGAACACCTCCCTACCCACCTACCCTCTGCCCCTCGAAAATCTCCAGAAACTCCTCCCTCAACCCCACGGCCGCCACTTCCTGGCCCGCACCGGCAACACGATAGTCGGCTTCTGCCTGACCTACTCCCGCACCACCGACGACGACGACGACAAGAAATCCGCCTACCTGTCCGCGATCGCCGTCCTCCCGGCCACCCAGTCCCAAGGCATTGGGAGCACGCTCATCCAAGAAGTCATCGCCTGGTACACGACGACGCAGCAGATCACCCGCCTCGACCTCAGCAGTTCATTCCCGCGCTTCTGGCCGGGCCTCCCCGACGACCTTGCACCGTCAGCCACAAGATTCTTCGAGAACCGGGCCTTCATCTTCACGACCCCGCCCCCGCGCCACGTCGACCTCTACCGGAGCATCACTGACTTCCAGCTCGAGGAAAGGCACACCCGCAAAGCCACAAGCCAGGGCTACACCTTCGCCCCGCTCCAACCCGATCAATATGAGGAATGTATCGCCGGGCAGCGGAAGAACTTCTCACACAACCAGGTTCAAGAAACCCCTTTCTTCAATCCCCTCTCCAAGACATAACTAACACAGCTGTGACTAACACGTACCGTACCAAATCATATTACATCACAGGCCTGGGTCCAAACCTACATCACGCTCCACCCGCAAACCCACCCGGACAGCATCATGACCGTCTTCAGCCCGCAGGGCCATCAGATCGGCTGGACGCTGATGCTCGACCCGTCCTCACCTTTTCTGCAGATACAATGGGCAATGCCGCCCGTCTGCGGGGGCGCTGACTCCCGCACTGGGCTGATCGGGTGTGTGGGCGTGGACCAGGAACATCGGGGCAAGGGCGTTGGGGTGGCGATGCTGGCCCATGCGCTGGCGCATCTCCGGAGCCGCGGGGTGCAGGGGGTGATGGTCGACTGGGTGGTGTTGGAGGGGTTCTATGAGTCGGTGGGGTTCGACGTGTGGAGGGGGTATCGGCTTGGGTCGGTCCGCATATAGGCTGTTGATTTTGGATTTGAATTCGACCTAGATAATGTCGTTGGTCATTTACTTAGCATCTGGATTCAGTGGCTCAGTGGCTCATTGAATCACAAAATAATAGAGCTCATATAGTTGGGACTTTTCCCGATGTTCCTCTTGTGGTGCGCCGAATGTCGAACGACCACATGAGAGGGACAACAAATAAGGGGTGTTTTCCGAGAGGGAGGGGGATCCGCTCCCCGCCGGAATTCTCTTCCGAGGATTTTGACTCCCTGCATCTGCCTCGTAAAAATCCGCCTTTCTCTCATACAGAGCTGTACGTTATTTATGATTTCTTCTCGAGAGAACAGTGTGAAATAAAGCATAGAAAAGATCCCATCTTGATGTTACAGTAGAAGACCCGAACAACTTCTCGAACACACGTGAACCACCGTATACTCGGAAGTCTATATGACATCTCGAGCATGCGTTATGAGTCAGAATTCCATATCAACTGTACGAATGGCTCTGGATTTTCTTTTTCATGAAGTCAGATTGACTAATCATTGATAGTCATTCATTTTTAACTAACGTATTACATGACCTCTCATAATGGTAAAAGTGATATTTCCCTCCAGATTCAGTCTGACACATTTAGGCCCCGTAGACTCCGGAAGTAAATATTACAACCACCGAGGGTTTCCATCTTCACAAAGGAAACGCGCTGCAGGGGATTCGATCGAGCAGGATGGATGCGAGGAGCAACGACAGGTCTGCTGTAAATCGCTCTTTGGCAACCTAGCTGCTGGTCGCGAGGTGGTCGAGCTTGTACAGAGGCTCAAGGTGAGCACTGCGACGGCGGAAGATGTAGCGATTTATCCACCATGGGAGCACCTGGAACAACTGATAGCGCATGTGTATGGCTGTGGGCACTCCGAAGATGTAGTCAAGCTCTTCGAGAGTCCGCTGCTTGGTCTCGGGGACCCAGAAGAAGATCATAACAAACGCAGTGATATTGAGGGCCCTAAGATGTAATGAGTTAAAAGCTAGATTCTTGGGACATGCACGGAGCGACTTACGCGTAGAACCCGAAGGCACCAGTCGGGGTCATCACTGCAAGCATGCGCGGGAAGGTGATGGAGAGGACCGAAGCCCAGCCCATATTGATTGCCACACCCCAGGACATTCCAATCTCTGAGAAAGGTAAGCATATAATGATATGTATATATTGATGAAGACTTACCTCTATGGGACAGTGGAAAAACTTCGGCGGAGTAGGTGAACGGAACAGGACCCTCCCCGGGAGAATAGAATGCCGCGAAGATGAAGACAAAAAGCGCAATACATGCCAGGTGAGCAGTAGACTCTTCCGGGATGTAGAAGCAGAAGCCGGCAGCCAGCAAGGTCCAGGCCATGTTTGGGAAGGTGAAGAGCAACAAAGTTCTACGACCGAAAGTGTCGATAGTGGACACAGCGGGAAAGGCGAAAAGGAAG